GCGTTTCCCCCGACGGAGGCTCCTCTGCAGACACTCCACCTGGACGTGTGGGGCCCAGCCCGCGTTCGTGGACAGGGCGGGGAGCGCTACTTTCTGCTGGTAGTTGACGACTACACGCGCTACACCACGGTCTTCCCCTTGCGCACCAAGGGTGAGGTCCCTGATGTCTTGATCCCCTGGATCCGCGCTACTCGTCTCCAGCTGGAGCGGCGCTTTCGCTCGGACCTTCCGGTCCTGCGACTGCACTCTGATAGGGGCGGTGAGTTTTCCTCCGACCTCTTGAGCGCCTTCTGTCAGGAGGAGGGCATTGAGCAGACGTTCACGCTTCCGGCCTCTCCGCAGCAGAATGGAGTTGCTGAGCGCCGCATTGGCCTGGTCATGGAGGTCGCTCGTACCTCCTTGGTCCATGCGGCTGCCCCCCATTTTCTGTGGCCGTTTGCTGTCCGGTACGCCGCGCATCAGCTCAACCTCTGGCCCCGTGTCTCCGCTCCGGAGACCTCGCCGACACTACGTTGGACGGGAGAGGTTGGCGATGCGTCGGTGTTCCGCGTCTGGGGATCTCGTGCCTTTGTCCGCGACACGTCCGCGGACAAGCTCTCTCGTCGCGCTGTCCCCTGTGTCTTTCTTGGCTTTGTCCCTGACGCGTCTGGCTGGCAGTTTTACCACCCCACCTCGCGCCGGGTCTTTGCCTCTCAGGACGTCACCTTTGACGAGTCGGTTCCTTTTTACCGTCTCTTCCCCTACCGCACTGCCCCGCTCCCCCCTCCGCCTCTCTTCCTCGCGCCAGGTGCTGCTGTTGTAGAGCCCCTCCCCCTCAGGGTGCCGCTCCCTCAGGTGTGTCTCAGGTAGACCCCGTTGAGCCTGTCGAGGTAGCCGTCGAGTCGCGTCCTCCTCGGGGTACTGAGCCTGGGGGTACTGAGACTGGGGGTGCTGCGCCTGGGGGTGCTGAGCCTGGGGGTGCTGAGACTGGGGGTGCTGAGCCTGGGGGTGCTGAGCCTGGGGGTGCTAAGACCTGCTGGAGGTGCTGAGCCTGGAGGTGCTGAGACTGGGGGTGCTGAGCCTGGAGGTGCGGAGCCTGGGGGTGCTGGGCCTGGGGGTGCGGAGCCTGGGAGTGCTGAGTCTGGTGGTGTTGAGTCTGGTGGTGCTGAGCCTGCGCGTGCTACTCCTGGAGGAGCCCTCTCCTCCCAGCAGCTGCAGGAGAGGTACCTCCGGTACTGCAGCCTCCGGAGGGGTGCTTCTAGCGCCGGTACCCGTGCTTCCCCACCTCCCCGGGAGCTCCCCTCCCTTCAGCAGATCCGCGAGTGGTACACGCGGCGCTGCAGTCTTCGGAGTGGAGCCCCTGGTGCTGCGGACCCGGACGGTGGAGCTGCTGCTGGTGCTGAGGACCCGGACGGTGGAGCTGCTGCTGGTGCTGAGGACCCGGACGGTGGAGCTACTGCTGGTGCTGAGGACCCGGACGGTGGAGCTGCTGCTGGTGCTGAGGACGCGGACGGTGGAGCTGCTGCTGGTGCTGAGGCCCCGGGCGGTGGAGCTGCTACTGGTGCTGCGGACCCGCACGGTGGAGCTACTGCTGGTGCTGCGGACCCGGACGGTGGAGCTGCTGCTGGTGCTGCGGACCCGGACGGTGGAGCTGCTGCTGGTGCTGAGGACCCGGACGGTGGAGCTGCTGCTGGTGCTGAGGCCCCGGGCGGTGGAGCTGCTGCTGGTGCTGCGGACCCGCACGGTGGAGCTACTGCTGGTGCTGAGGTCCCCGGTGCTGGTGTCCCTGCTGGCTCTGGGGACGCTACGAGGCCGCGACCGTACTTCGTCCCGCTCCTTCAGCAGGTTCTTGGTCTGGCTCCTCCTCCTTGTCCTCCTCCCTCCGTAGAGTGTCTGCAGCCTGTCCAGTCGCAGTCACAGTTACCGCCTACCTCGCCTCTCCCTGTTTCCTCTCCTTACACCGGTCCCACAGGAGGTCTTACCGAGCGTCGTGAGCCTGCGTCTCGTCCTGCGTCGCCTGTTCGTCCTGCGCGCACTAGTCGTCGTGGCACACGTGAGCGTCCTCCTCCTGTCCCTGGCACTCACTACATGACACTGCGTCGCTCCACTGCTCCTCAGCGTGTCCCTCTGCCGTCTCCTCCTGCGTCCTCTCTCCCTACTCTTCCTGACCCGGAGTCTGACTCCCGTCGTGCTGCCAGTCCCACAGTCACGCGTCTCCTCGCCACTGTTGTCACTGACCCTACCTTTGAGTCCTCTGCTGCGTCTGCTCTGGTCGCTGAGTTGGTTGACTTTGCTGCCGCGTGCCGTCTAGACTTCGCCGCTAGCCTTGTTGCTGAGTCTGCGTCTGTCTGTCCTCCGTCCGTCGGGGGTGAGTGTGCTCTAGGCACGGACGTCCTTGAGGACAGACAGGAGGAGTTCCAGTGCTTTGCTGCTGCTTTGCCCCATCTTGTGTCCATGCTAGTTGCCCCTGAGGGAGACCCGGATGCACCAGACATCCCGACCCCGCGCTCTTACGCAGAGGCGGTGGCAGGTCCCTACTCCTCTCAGTGGAAGACAGCCATGGACGCCGAGATGGCTTCCTGGAAGTCCACAGGCACCTACGTCGACGAGGTTCCCCCACCTGGGGCGAACATCGTCAGTGGCATGTGGATTTTCAGGGTGAAGCGGCCGCCTGGTTCTCCTCCTGTCTTCAAGGCACGCTACGTTGCTCGAGGCTTCAGTCAGCGCGAGGGAGTAGACTTCTTTCAGACCTTCTCCCCCACCCCGAAGATGACTACTCTTCGGGTGCTGCTGCACATAGCCGCTCAGCGAGACTACGAGCTTCACTCTCTTGACTTCAGTACTGCTTTCTTGCAGGGCAGTCTTCACGAGGAGATCTGGCTGCGCCGCCCTCCTGGCTTCACTGGGTCGTTCCCTCCTGGTACCCAGTGGAGGCTCCAGCGGCCAGTCTACGGTCTCCGCCAGGCGCCACGTGAGTGGCACGACACACTGAGGACGACACTCGCGGCACTTGGGTTCGCTCCTTCTACTGCTGACCCGTCGCTGTTTCTACGCACTGACACCTCGCTGCCGCCGTTCTACATCCTCGTGTACGTCGACGACTTGGTCTTTGCCACTGCTGACACTCAGGCACTCGCCTACGTGAAGTCGGAGCTGCAGAAGCGACACACGTGCACAGACCTGGGTGAACTGACAAGCTACCTTGGCTTGCGGATCACTCGGGACAGAGCACGGCGCACCATCACACTGACTCAGTCACACATGGTGCAGCAGGTCCTTCAGCGCTTCGGCTTCACGTACTCCTCGCCTCAGGCCACTCCTCTGCCTACAGGTCACTCGCTCTCAGCTCTGCCTTCGGATGAGTCCGTAGAGTCGAGTGGCCCGTATCCAGAGCTTGTTGGTTGCCTCATGTACCTGATGACCTGCACTCGACCTGACCTTGCATACCCTCTTAGCATCCTTGCACGCTATGTCGCTCCTGGCCGTCACAGGAAGGAGCACATGGATGCCGCTAAGAGGGTGTTGCGCTACTTGTGCAGTACGTCGGGCATGGGGCTAGTGCTTGGAGGGCGAGACCGGGTTGTACTCACTGGACACTCAGACGCTTCTTGGGCGGACGACCAGGCTACACAGCGGTCGTCTCAGGGTTACACCTTCAGCCTTGGCTCTGGCTCAGTTTCTTGGCGTTCTACACGCTCTTCTTCTGTTCTCAGCTCCAGTTGTGAGGCTGAGATCTACGCCACAGCCATGGCGGCCCAGGAGCTACGCTGGCTGACCTACCTGTTGACTGACTTGGGAGAGCGGCCTCGTTCCCCTCCAGTGCTGTACGTTGACAACAAGGCTGCCATTGCCTTGTGTGAGGAGCACAGACTGGAGCACAGAACGAAGCACATCGCCCTGCGGTACTTCCTTGCTCGAGAGCTTCACCAGCGTGGTCAGCTTTGCCTCCGCTACGTGGTACCTCCGCTACGTGGTACCTCGCTGCGGTACCTCCGCTCGAGATTCGTATAGTGTGTGGTCGCGTTCGCGTTTAGGTGCTACTGAGTGATATTGTAGGGAGAATCCTTGTCGTTCGCGTGATAGTTTCCCCCCGCCTCGTCCGCGCTGCTGTTATTTGCCCGCATTCTTGCCCCGCCATGGCCGGTCGCGAATTGAAGGCGCTGTTGAACAGTGGCGATCAGGGCGCTACTTACACTGCTACGATCTCGATCGCTGGCGCCAATGTGGAGCTCCCCCCCGAGCAGAGGAAGTGCTTCATCGATGATAAGCATCCCTTCACCGCGACCTCCTTCTACTTCCTCGCCTGGTAAGACTGCGAGGTACACCTTTTGGTGTGACGGCCCCTTTTGAACGTGTTTATGGGTCGATCCGCGGTCTCCCTGAACCATGTCACTTTGTTCGCGTTACCATTGCTTTTGTGGGCAATGAAGCCGTCTGAGCCATAATCTGACACCTTGCTTCCTGTCGCGGTTTCTTATCTATCGCGACCACTGTTGCATATACTGGGGTTTTTGTCCATCGATATGCCCGCATTACACACTTACCGCGTTGATTCTATGGTCATTGGTTTTTCCATATCCCGTACAGGGTGGTCGTTTGGAAGTGCGTGTCATAGTCACTGCAGGAGGCGATAAAGGTGGTGCCCTCCAATGTTGTCGCGGACATCGTCGGGGTGGTGAGGCCGCGCATGCGTTTGACGGTTTGCTTGGTAGTAGGCTGGTCGTGTTTTGCCTATGGTTTTCCGATATAATTCTTCGTGTATGGGCTGACGTGTGTCTTCTTGTGTGATGTAAACATGTCAGGGAGTTGAGTAACAAGAAGGCTTCAAACGTGTGTATGTTGTTGCTTTCGCGACCGGACCACCTGGGGCTTGACGCGAGTTCACCCTGGAAAACTCGTTTTGTACGCGTCTGTCACCCCACTGCCGCGGCTGAGGAGCTCACCGCGATCGACAAGATTGTCAAGTAAGTTTGTACTAGCTGGTGATCTTTTATTGTTTGGTCACTATTGAACTTCCCTGTATGTATTATATCCTAATGTTAAACGCGGTGAAAACGACCAATGTGTTCAGGTGGTTTCACGGTCGCGTTAACCTGTATTTCGGAAGCGATTCAGTCAAGTGCCTCTGGTCGGGGCAGTTGGGAGACCCGACACGCCTCGTGGACCCGGTAAGTGTGTGCCATGTTCGCGTTTGATATGTCGCGAGGTTTTCAACGGGAGCTCTAACACAACACTCCACTTCCGCGGTTTCTTTTCAGGATATTTCATCTTGGAAGACCCCTTGCGGGCCACTCGCATGTGGGTACGCGTTTGACAGAGTCCTCAACGAGCTAGACGCGGTTGTTGGACACGAACCAGCGCCACGCATCGCTGAGCCAATTGCCAGGACATTGACCACGTTGCGGCAGGATGCGAAACGGGCCGCGGATGAGCTCACGTTCAAGTCTAGGTGCAGGATTGCGGACGGTCACGGGGGGGAAGCTCACGGTAATGAGCGTTTGAGGTCGCACGAACAGCCCGCGGGATCACAAGTTTCAGGCCGCTGCGAACTCTAAATACTGCTTTCGCGCTCGCGAACGCAAGGGAGGGGGCTGAAGTGGCCGCGGAACATAGGAAGCCGTACAACAAGGAGGAGGGCTCGAGCTCTGACCGCGACGAGGATGCCCCTGAGAACGCGCATCAGGGTGGACGTGACAAGAATGCAGCGGAAGAGGCAGATGGCCAGGGTCGCGGACAGGTTGAAGGGGATGCAGCGGAGCGCGATGATGTCGCGATGGATAACCAAGGCGGTGATTTGGAGCTGGAGGGTTCGGACGAAATGGAGGAAGAGGATGACGAAGAGGAGGAGGAGGAGGAGGAGGAGGAGGAGGAGGAGGAGGAGGAGGAGGAGAAGGAGGAGGAGGAGTAAGAGGAGGAGGTCGATGAAATCGTGGTGAACACTGAGGGGCGGGCTGAGGTCGCGGTCGCGGGTGCAGGAAAGAGTATTCGCAGTCTACATGTTGCGCTGTCCCCCCGTCCAGGAAGCGCGACCCCATCATGCGAGGTCGCGGGCAAGAGCCCGGTCGCGGGAAAGCGGAAATACGCGGAGCTGGTCAAGATGCAGCCTGGTAAGTTGGCCGAGGAAATCCTCCGCTTGGACGAGCAGGTGAAGAATCAGAAGCGCCGACTCACATAGCTGGAGGAGGTCATGTCCGCAAAGCCTGGTCAGGAAGTTGCGGTCGTGATCACGCAGAGTTACGAGGAGCTCGCGGCCACGGTGGAGAAGGTGCTGCATCATCTCCAGAACGCGGAATGGGCAATAGTCAAGGAGACCAAAGCTGCCGCAAAGGACAGGGCAGAGAATCACGACCTGAGGGAGGTGCTGAAACGCACTGCTGCTCGCCTGGAGGATAACACGGGTAACCTGAAAAGGGGTGGTTGTGGACTCCATGGAAAGAGCCCAGAAGAAGTTGACGGACGAGGTCGCTCGGAAGATTGGCGGCGCGTCATCCAACATTGTGGCCACCTCCGAACGCGCGATCACAACAAGCGGCGTCACCAACGCTCTCAACACCGTCATCGTCCTGCTTTCCGGTCGTGAGGCTCCGCGACCAGGCACAGATGGATCGCAGGGGAAGGGATCAGACGAGGTCGCGGAGAAAGAGGCAGGGAAAAGGGGCACGGAGAAAGATACAACGAAGAAGGAGACAATGAAGAAGCCGCGGACAAGGAGACAGGTAAGAGGGTCGCTGACAAGGAGACAGGGAATGGTGAGAGCAGCAGGGCAGGGAAGCGGCAGAAAGTTCCCGCGGTCCCTAGCGTCACCGATATCCTGAAGAGCAAGGGGGGCGCGGTAGATCTGCGTCCAGGGCTGCTCCCGAGGGGAACCACCAAGGGGGATGCTGCTGCGGGACCACCGCCTGCCCCCTCGGCAGTGGAAGCTGGTAAAGGCAAGGCTAAGGTCGAGGACGCCCTGCCGGCCACCACCACCGCGCTAGTGCCCGCGGCAGGCAACACCACCGCGGTCGCGCCCGGGCAACCTGGACCCAGCTCCACCGCCCCTGCAATCCCCCCATCCGCAGATGCCAAGGTGAAGAATCAGGGTCGCGGTGGTTGTAAGCTGCCTGCAGGCGCGTTGAAGGTGGACCACGACTACGACGACGACTCGGACGCGGACGACGTGGTTCAGCTGGTGCTGCAAAGGCTCGTAGGGCCGAGCGACAACAGCGGCACTAGCGGCAAGCGCAAGGGATGTGGTATCCGCGCGCTGCCCAGGGGTGTAGAGGGGATGGTGGGCGAACCGTGGCTGGGGGGGAGACGTCGCTGGCTAGGACTTCACTTCCTCCAAGAGGTGCAGTACCTGACTGCGATCGCGGTCATGTGTTACGACAAGAAGATAGACCCCGGGCTCAAGCTGACTGCGCAGCAGAAAAGTGAGTGGGCCGAGGACATCTCTGCGGTGGGCAAGGAGGCGGCAGACGAGGAGCCCGATGTCACCGGCGCCTAGGAAGCCCAGTTTGCAGGTGCGGTCGCGTGCGCGATCGCGATGATGTGGGAGAAGTGCAACGGTCTCGACCTCGACGAGATCGTGGATGCTGGATACGGCGCGACGCAGTCTGCAGGCACCCCAGAAGAACATGCCTTCGGCTACCCCACCATTGTACTGGCGATCTTATAGAGGGCTAGGAAGGAGAGTGCCCGCCCGCACACCACCGAGGTCACTCCGAAGCAGGTCGCGGAGGCTTTCGAGTCCGCGGTCGTGAACCGCCTTGGAGCGCGACTTGGGAACCCCACCCTAGTTGCTATGGTCGCGCACTAGACAGTAGACGTGCTGATAACCTGGAGCGACTGAAAGATCGCGGCCAAGCTGATGGAGGCCAACAGGCTCTATCTCGCTCTGCCTGAGAAGCGTCTGTCCGCGAAGAAGAGGTCCGCGTGAATGTGGTAGGTAGAGAGGTTTTTTTGCGGTTGGAAACACTTGTTGTTAGAGACTCTTGTTTGTGTAGTCGCATGAGACTCTCGTTAGTAAAGGTAGCTTGTCGACCCTGCTTGAGATTTTCGCGCGGTGGTCATTTTGTCTATGCTGTTTACTCCCTTCTTTGTCATTCATCTCATTTTCTTGAAATGCCATTTTCTTTTAACGCGATCCATGATGCTCGTAAATCTCGGCGTGCTTCGCACTCAAACCATACCACCAATACGCGAACTTTATGACCATGAAGTAAGCACAGACATACTAGAGATCGCGATCAAGGGCAAAATGGATGGAAGTTTGCACAATCAGAGGAACAGACGCGGACAAAATCGTCAATCAATTTAGGACAGTCGCATCTAGCTACTCTAGTGATGGCATATGAGCACAGTACTGCGGCCACACGACCAGAAATTCAGTCGCGGGAAGAGATGCATCAATGAAGTGGTCGCGAACAAGCATCCATTTCACTCGCAACTGCACCTCCGCAGGAGACCCCTTCTTGAGATGTGACAGATCGAGCCCTACAGTCTTCTTAATTACCGCGGTCCCATCCTGCATGGACAGAGCGCGGGAGCATGGGTGTGATGGTTAGGCATTTACGTAGTGTAGACATACTAACGCGAGCAGCATTGTACTTACCGCGCCACGAATCAGGGTAGGTGTATTGCGCTGTACTATGGCCAGTTGATTCGCCAAGGAGACATCTGAAGCCCACTCCGCAAACTCCTTCTTCTGGCATAGCGGGTTTCATACCACGTACGGGTGTTTCGGCTGGTGGATGTAATACATGGCCAGGTCGGTCGCGACCGCCATCCGACCCTCGCCGTCCAGCTCTCGCAGGATGTTGAGTCCCGCGGTGTCTTGCTTCTCCGGCTTCTTCTCACGGACCATCTTCCGGTTGTAATCCATGCACTGTTAATCCAAACACGAAACGCGGTAAGGAACGCGGTGGCAGGTGGGATGTTGGGAATGGTCGTGATCGCGTACGATTATGTTGCGCGGCCCCACACGTACCTGTTTCTGTCTTTTGTCAGGGGCGGCCCAAGAGAATATGTGCTCCCGGAGTAGCTTCATCAGTGCCTCGCTCACCGGAACCTTTACGCGACCCAGATAGTAGTCACCGTCCACCCCTGTGAAATCCGCCTTCAGCAGCACGGCCTCCTTCAGAATCGTGGTGAAGTAGTGTTTGGTCATAACATCAATGAAGCGTCACCCCCCCAAGTCTCGCCAGATGATCCGAAGGCATTCCGTCCGCGGACGCGTGCTGCGCCCCACCTGCTCTGGTCGCGTAGACCACTCGCAAGCATGTGATTCCCGTGTCCTCCAAGACCTTTGCCGCCCAGTCGTGATGTGTCGTGGGCTGTATCTGCTTCTCATTACCCTGGCGAAGGGGGACGAATAGGTACTGGTCGTACCACTTTGCGGGCTCCGAGAAGTCGAGAGGGGGGGCAATGTCCTCGTAGAGGACGAGAACCACGTCGTACACCCAGTGCAGCCACATCAGTGTAGCACCGACCGCGCACAGCGTCCAGTCTAGGTGCCGCACTGTCGCGATGTAGTTGAGTGAGAAATCCTTGTTTGTCTTGCCCGTTCTGCACGCGTAAACAAACATGAACGCGTCCTTCACTTGATCGGTGTCCGACTTAGCGCCAAGGTTCCACATCATCATGTCTGGCAGCTGCAGGTTCCTTATGATGCACCCGCGGGCTAGAGTGTGATGATCAAGCACAGTCATTGTCCGGATGCACAGATCGTGGTGGTGCACACTTTTGGGTGGTTAAGAGCACTTGTCAACACAAGTGGACTGCAAGCTGCGTGCATGGGACTCCCCAGTGGTGTGCTGGCGTCGCTGCTTTTCCTACGTAGTTCTCAACTCATGTCACAACAGTCGTATTTATGTCCCTCCCTCCCGTCCCCCCTCCTCTCTTCCTGCAGCGGGACCACAAGCAGCATGCACGGGGTGTGCTGGCTTTGCTGCCTTCTCGCTTCTCATTGAGAAGGTTCTCGAGCGATACCACTAGGACGGTTCTGCTCTTTCTAAACAACTACTAGCGTGAATAGAGTCGTGCTTTAGTCAACTCAAAACAGGTCCTACTAGAGTGATACCACTAGGGCGGTGCTGCTCATTCAAAACCACTAGCCCTGCTCTTGTAAGGGTTAATGTGTGGTAACTAGTTACATGTAAAGTGTATCAATATTGGATAGAGACCTGAAGGAGCCTGGTGCTCTTGTTATGGTTACCTGCCAGTCAGTACTGCAATGATATGTCAATCAATATGTAACCATGTTGAACATGGAACACTATGGTAACATGGAATGGAGATCCCTGCTCTGCATGCCCGATGTACACCCCGATGTGGTTTGCCATCACTCCAGCTGCTTTTGAGGCGCCAGAACCAGTCATCATCAAGAGCGGACAACGAGTTCGATAGGTAGTTTTCGTCATCGTCATTACACCCGTCGCTGTCCTCGTCGTCATCATCGTCATCCTCGGTGTCTTCATCCTCATTGTTTCCCGCCTAATCGCACCCCTCCCCGGTTCCGTTGTGGGCATCTCCAGCACTATATCCACTCTCTGCCTCCTTACACGTGGTCTACTAACAGGCTGATTCGAGCGGGGTGCCATCCTAGCCTGCCTATGTGGACCCTCGTTACCCCTGTTCGCGATATCACCATTCGTGTTACCTTCGTTCGTACTCCCGCCGTTCCATCTCCCACCGTTCGCTCTACCCCCGTTCGCTCTACCCCCGTAAGCCCTCCCGCCGTTCCCTCTCCCCCCGTTCGCTCTACCCCCGTTCCCTCTCGGACCGTTCCCTCTCCCTTCGTTCGCCCTCCTACCGTTCGCATGCGGTTGCCTACTACCTGCGCTCTCATTCTCAGCAGTTTGTTGCGCTGGGGTGCGGATGTGCACGTCCGGGTTCCCGGGCAACAGTGAGTTCACGTTCTAAATCGGAGGCGAACTTACACGCGTGATTGCATACACCCCTACGCGATCTACATGCGCCGCATCTCCATCAACCTCTTCAATCGCGTTTCCTGTCGAGCATGTGGTACGCGCTGGTGTGTCAACACATGCCACAGGTGGGTTCGACGATGGTAGCTGAGATGGTATCGCGTTAGGAAATGGGGTTACGGGAGCGGCAGGTGGCGTCGCGACAGTTGAGGGTGTATGAACCAGGGGTGCTGGTTGAACGCCGATGTACCCGTACCTAAAATCGAAATTCGGGTATTGCGGCCCGACGTAGCCGCGAACAGGCATTCCAAATGGCTGTGTTGATTGGTCGGTCGCGGCCACGTTGTGTTGTCCGGCCGTCTGTGTTTCAGGATGGGGCGTGGATAACCCGTGTGTATTCTGGTCATCCTCATCCGTTTAGAACGCGACCGGAGCTGATGAGAGTGGAATTTGTGACCGCGGTGCCAGGTGCATCCCGTTGATCAATTGCTGTGGGTGGAACGCTGGCATTTGGGACTCAAAGAGTATCGGCTCCACGTATGGTGTACCCCATGTCGGAGTGAGCGCAGGCATGTTTTGCACTGGTGCGGTAGCCGGCCCTGCGGTGTGGGACTGGGACGCGATTGTGTTGTCTGTTGCCATAACGCGATGCAACGTATGCATGCATCTCGCGATGGTGTTGCCCCTACTCCTACAGAACGCGTGCCTCAACATGGTGCAATGTGTCTACGCGATCCCTACCATCTGTACCCTAAACGGATTCCGGGTTACCCTAATGTTGCATAATATGCAGTGTCGTGATCGCATGTTTCATGTTACGCCCCACGATTTGACCGCGACACCCAATTTGCGTCTAAGTCCACCGAGTGCAATGCGACATGAGAGGGATGAGTCTGATGCGCTACTAGCGAGCAAAAAGCGTGAATGCAGGGAGGCTGGGTGTAATGACCGGTCACGGCGTAGACGTGCCTCCCACGTCACCGCGTTCGCGGCTCGTCTACACGGCGACACTTGTGCACGTCCATCAACGCGCTGCACGCGTCAGACTGCATGGTGCCTGTCAAATCGCGCTAGGTGGCTTCCAGTGTTTCCCTCTCACATCTCGCACCGCATTACCCAACCTTATCATTGTGCGATGGCTGTTCGCAAATGGTTTTGTGAATTCGCCACCTATCCCCTCCCACGTTCTGTATGGCGAACGCGCAGTTGCATGCGCGCGGGTGCGAGTTTGTCAATGGTAAAAACCAATCGCGTTTGGTTTTCCCCGAGTCGCACATGCATTGGCGCGTAAGAACCACATGGGTTCTTTCGGATTTTGGGGAAGCGGGGAGGTTTCGATGGGAATCCCGTGGTTTTTTGTCTGCCACGCAGTGCCGCGCTAGCTCCAGACCCGGTGGGATTCTGGAGGGCCGACTTCGCCCCACGCCTCCCGCAGTAGCTCCGCGCCCCGTACATCCCAAGGCGTGGGCGGGCTTTTCTCGAGCCGCGCCGTATAAACATCCCAGTCCATCCGGGCCCCGGTGGGTTGGCTTCCACTGGGCTCCCGGCCCGGTGGGTTGGGTTCCCACCGGGCCCGCACGCGGATGCACCGGGTGTCGCGATCCCCAGCTGGGAGGTGCACGCGAACGGGAGTCCCCCGCCCTGTTCCAAGTCCCTAGCGAGATCCGGGCGGCGGAGTCAGCTGGCGAATTGCCCCGCGCCGAGCCCGGGTCACGCCAGCGCCACGCAGCCCGGGACCACACCCGGATGTCCCCCGAATGCCCAGCCCTGGCTCGCGAAACCCCCTCGCGAAACCCCTCGCACACCAATCACACGGGCCCCGAGCGCGCCGGAATTATTCGAACAATTCCGGCCATTCGAAGCCGTTTCCGACTGGGGCGTGGCCTGGAGGGACCTAGTGAAACACTTCGCACACCAACCAGCTCGTGCAAAGGGTCGCCAATGCGCGCCGGAACGAATTCGGCCAATCGGAAACGGTTTCTTCCGGTGGTGTGGTTCGGAAGACCCCTGCAAAATACTCTTCGCGCGTGCGAAGGGTCGCTAGGGTTCGCCAAAAAAAAATCCTCAACTTTGGAAAACGTGTACCCATTGTGCTGTTGTTACACTCACACATAGGAAACACAAATCGTAAACGCGATTGCAGAGCATTAATAGTAAAACACTCTTGAAGGAGGAAAACACTCTTTGTTTGTATGCGGTCGAGTTGGAACGGTTTTTTTTTTTATTTACTCGTTGTTTTTTTTTTCACCTTTTTTTTGTCGCCAACTTATTAAACGCGATTCACATTTTTGACCGCGTGTAGTAAAATTGTTGTGGAAGAGGTGGTTGTTTCGGATATTTACCCTGGACTTTGGCGGGCGCGACGAGGAATAGACCCCACCCGAGGTGGTAACCATCGCCTCTTGCATGCAGTCCGCGGTCGGAGTGCTATATGGCGGGACGTGGTTCCACTCGCATGCATGACTTGGAACGTCCCCCCCTTGAAAAGTCTCAAGGGGCGCGCGGGTTCCTCCCCACCTCACGCAGTCCCACCCCCAGCCTGTTGCTTGTGCTGCCCCCTTATGGGTTGCTCATTTTCCTCTTCACACCCTGGTTCTCCATTTTTGTCTTCCTGCTAGTCCTCTCCACCTTGTTCACTCGCCGAGCTTTGTATAGTGTGTGGTCGCGTTCGTGTTTAGGTGCTACCGAGTGATATTGTAGGGAGAATCCCTGTCGTTCGCGTGATAGTTTCCCCCCGCCTCGTCCACGCTGCTGTTATTTGCTCGCGTTCTTGCCCCGCCATGGCCGGTCGCGAATTGAAGGCGCTGTTGAACAGTGGCGATCAGGGCGCTACTTACACTGCTACGATCTCGATCGCTGGCGCCACTGTGGAGCTCCCCCCCGAGCAGAGGAAGTGCTTCGCCGATGATAAGCATCCCTTCACCACGACCTCCTTCGACTTCCTCGCCTGGTAAGACTGCCAGGAACACCTTTTGGAGTGACGGCCCCTTTAGAATGTGTTTATGGGTCGATCCGTGGTCTCCCTGAACCATGTCACTTTGTTCGCGTTACCATTGCTATTGTCGGCAACGAAGCCGTCTGAGCCATAATCTGACACCTTGCTTTCGGCCGCGTTTCCTTATCTATCGCGACCATTTTGCATGTACTAGGGTTTTTGTCCATCGATATGCCCGCATAACACACGGACCGCGTTAATTCTATGGTCATTGTTTTTTCATGTCCCGTACAACGTCGTCGTTCGGAAGTGCGTGTCTCTCAGTCGCTACAGGAGGCGATAAAGGTGGTGCCCTCCAATGTTGTCGCGGACATCGTCGCGGGGTGGTGAGGCCGCACAGGTGTTTGACGGTTTGCTTGGTAGTAGGCTGGTCGCGTTCTGCATCTGGTCGGGTGAGTACACCGTGAATAGATGTAGGCTGGTCGTGTTTTGCCTATGGTTTTCCGATATATTTCTTCGTGTATGGGTTGACGTGTGTCTTCTTGTGTAATGTAGACATGTCAGGGAGTTGAGTGACAAGAAGGATTCAAACGCGTGTATGTTGCTGCTTTTGCGACCGGACCACCTGGGGCTTGACGCGAGTTCACCCTGGAAAACTCGTTTTGTACGCGTCTGTCACCCCACTGCGTGGCTGAGGAGCTCACCGCGATCGACAAGACTGTCAAGTAAGTTTGTACTAGCTGGTGATCTTCCCTGTATGTATTATATCCTAATGTTAAACGCGTTGAAAATGACCAATGTGTTCAGGTGGTTTCACGGTCGCGTTAACCTGTATTTCGGGAGCGATTCAGTCAAGTGCCTCCGGTCGGGGCAGTTGGGAGACCCGACACGCCTCGTGGACCTGGTAAGTGTGTGCCATGTTCGCGTATGTTACTCCGCGGTGTTTTTAACGGGAGCTCTAACACAACACTCCACTTCCGCGGTTTCTTTTCAGGATATTTCGTCTTGGAAGACCCCTTGCGGGCCACTCGCATGTGGGTACGTGTTTGACAGAGTTGTAAACGAGCTAGACGCGAATGTTGGACACGAATCAGCGCCACGCATCGCCAAGCCAATTGCCAGGACATTGACCACTTGCGGCAATATGCGAAACGCGCCGCGGAGGAGCTCGCGTTCAAGTCTAGGTGCGGGATTGCGGACGGTCACAGGGGGGAAGCTCACGGTAATGAGGGTTTGAGGTCGCACGAACAGCCCGTGGGATCACATGTTTCAGGCCGCTACGAACTCGCTCTAAATACTGCTTTCGCGCTCGCGAATGCAGGGGAGGGGGCTGAAGTGACCGCGGAACCCGGGAAGCCGGACAACAAGGAGGAGGGCTCGAGCTCTGACCGTGACGAGGATGACCCTGAGAACGCGCATCAGGGTGGACGTGACAAGAATGCAGCGGAAGAGGCAGATGGCCAGGGTCGCGGACAGGTTGAAGGGGATGCAGCGAAGCGCGATGATGTCGCGATGGATAACCAGGGCGGTGATTTGGAGCTGGAGGGTTCGGACGAAATGGAGGAAGAGGACGACGAAGAGGAGGAGAAGGAGGAGGAGGAGGAGGAGGAGGAGGAGGAGGAGGAGGAGGAGGAGGAGGAGGAGGAGGAGGCAGAGGAGGAGGAGGAGGAGGAGGAGGCCGAGGAAATCGCGGTGAACACAGAGGGGCGGGCTGAGGTCGCGGTCACGGGTGCAGGAAAGAGTATTCGCAGTCTACATGCTGCGCTGTCCCCCCGTTTAGGAAGCGCGACCCCATCATGCGAGGTCGCGGGCAAGAGCCCGGTCGCGGGAAAGCGGAAATACGCGGAGCTGGTCAAGATGCAGCCTGGTAAGTTGGCCGAGGAAATCCTCCGCTTGGACGAGCAGGTGAAGAATCAGAAGCGCCGACTCACATAGCTGGAGGAGGTCATGTCCGCAAAGCCTGGTCAGGAAGTTGCGGTCGTGATCACGCAGAGTTACGAGGAGCTCGCGGCCACGGTGGAGAAGGTGCTGCATCATCTCCAGAACGCGGAATGGGCAATAGTCAAGGAGACCAAAGCTGCCGCAAAGGACAGGGCAGAGAATCACGACCTGAGGGAGGTGCTGAAACGCACTGCTGCTCGCCTGGAGGATAACACGGGTAACCTGAAAAGGGGTGGTTGTGGACTCCATGGAAAGAGCCCAGAAGAAGTTGACGGACGAGGTCGCTCGGAAGATTGGCGGCGCGTCATCCAACATTGTGGCCACCTTCGAACGCGCGATCACAACAAGCGGCGTCACCAACGCTCTCAACACCGTCATCGTCCTGCTTTCCGGTCGTGAGGCTCCGCGACCAGGCACAGATGGATCGCAGGGGAAGGGATCAGACGAGGTCGCGGAGAAAGAGGCAGGGAAAAGGGGCACGGAGAAAGATACAACGAAGAAGGAGACAATGAAGAAGCCGCGGACAAGGAGACAGGTAAGAGGGTCGCTGACAAGGAGACAGGGAATGGTGAGAGCAGCAGGGCAGGGAAGCGGCAGAAAGTTCCCGCGGTCCCTAGCGTCACCGATATCCTGAAGAGCAAGGGGGGCGCGGTAGATCTGCGTCCAGGGCTGCTCCCGAGGGGAACCACCAAGGGGGATGCTGCTGCGGGACCACCGCCTGCCCCCTCGGCAGTGGAAGCTGGTAAAGGCAAGGCTAAGGTCGAGGACGCCCTGCCGGCCACCACCACCGCGCTAGTGCCCGCGGCAGGCAACACCACCGCGGTCGCGCCCGGGCAACCTGGACCCAGCTCCACCGCCCCTGCAATCCCCCCATCCGCAGATGCCAAGGTGAAGAATCAGGGTCGCGGTGGTTGTAAGCTGCCTGCAGGCGCGTTGAAGGTGGACCACGACTACGACGACGACTCGGACGCGGACGACGTGGTTCAGCTGGTGCTGCAAAGGCTCGTAGGGCCGAGCGACAACAGCGGCACTAGCGGCAAGCGCAAGGGATGTGGTATCCGCGCGCTGCCCAGGGGTGTAGAGGGGATGGTGGGCGAACCGTGGCTGGGGGGGAGACGTCGCTGGCTAGGACTTCACTTCCTCCAAGAGGTGCAGTACCTGACTGCGATCGCGGTCATGTGTTACGACAAGAAGATAGACCCCGGGCTCAAGCTGACTGCGCAGCAGAAAAGTGAGTGGGCCGAGGACATCTCTGCGGTGGGCAAGGAGGCGGCAGACGAGGAGCCCGATGTCACCGGCGCCTAGGAAGCCCAGTTTGCAGGTGCGGTCGCGTGCGCGATCGCGATGATGTGGGAGAAGTGCAACGGTCTCGACCTCGACGAGATCGTGGATGCTGGATACGGCGCGACGCAGTCTGCAGGCACCCCAGAAGAACATGCCTTCGGCTACCCCACCATTGTACTGGCGATCTTATAGAGGGCTAGGAAGGAGAGTGCCCGCCCGCACACCACCGAGGTCACTCCGAAGCAGGTCGCGGAGGCTTTCGAGTCCGCGGTCGTGAACCGCCTTGGAGCGCGACTTGGGAACCCCACCCTAGTTGCTATGGTCGCGCACTAGACAGTAGACGTGCTGATAACCTGGAGCGACTGAAAGATCGCGGCCAAGCTGATGGAGGCCAACAGGCTCTATCTCGCTCTGCCTGAGAAGCGTCTGTCCGCGAAGAAGAGGTCCGCGTGAATGTGGTAGGTAGAGAGGTTTTTTTGCGGTTGGAAACACTTGTTGTTAGAGACTCTTGTTTGTGTAGTCGCATGAGACTCTCGTTAGTAAAGGTAGCTTGTCGACCCTGCTTGAGATTTTCGCGCGGTGGTCATTTTGTCTATGCTGTTTACTCCCTTCTTTGTCATTCATCTCATTTTCTTGAAATGCCATTTTCTTTTAACGCGATCCATGATGCTCGTAAATCTCGGCGTGCTTCGCACTCAAACCATACCACCAATACGCGAACTTTATGACCATGAAGTAAGCACAGACATACTAGAGATCGCGATCAAGGGCAAAATGGATGGAAGTTTGCACAATCAGAGGAACAGACGCGGACAAAATCGTCAATCAATTTAGGACAGTCGCATCTAGCTACTCTAGTGATGGCATATGAGCACAGTACTGCGGCCACACGACCAGAAATTCAGTCGCGGGAAGAGATGCATCAATGAAGTGGTCGCGAACAAGCATCCATTTCACTCGCAACTGCACCTCCGCAGGAGACCCCTTCTTGAGATGTGACAGATCGAGCCCTACAGTCTTCTTAATTACCGCGGTCCCATCCTGCATGGACAGAGCGCGGGAGCATGGGTGTGATGGTTAGGCATTTACGTAGTGTAGACATACTAACGCGAGCAGCATTGTACTTACCGCGCCACGAATCAGGGTAGGTGTATTGCGCTGTACTATGGCCAGTTGATTCGCCAAGGAGACATCTGAAGCCCACTCCGCAAACTCCTTCTTCTGGCATAGCGGGTTTCATACCACGTACGGGTGTTTCGGCTGGTGGATGTAATACATGGCCAGGTCGGTCGCGACCGCCATCCGACCCTCGCCGTCCAGCTCTCGCAGGATGTTGAGTCCCGCGGTGTCTTGCTTCTCCGGCTTCTTCTCACGGACCATCTTCCGGTTGTAATCCATGCACTGTTAATCCAAACACGAAACGCGGTAAGGAACGCGGTGGCAGGTGGGATGTTGGGAATGGTCGTGATCGCGTACGATTATGTTGCGCGGCCCCACACGTACCTGTTTCTGTCTTTTGTCAGGGGCGGCCCAAGAGAATATGTGCTCCCGGAGTAGCTTCATCAGTGCCTCGCTCACCGGAACCTTTACGCGACCCAGATAGTAGTCACCGTCCACCCCTGTGAAATCCGCCTTCAGCAGCACGGCCTCCTTCAGAATCGTGGTGAAGTAGTGTTTGGTCATAACATCAATGAAGCGTCACCCCCCCAAGTCTCGCCAGATGATCCGAAGGCATTCCGTCCGCGGACGCGTGCTGCGCCCCACCTGCTCTGGTCGCGTAGACCACTCGCAAGCATGTGATTCCCGTGTCCTCCAAGACCTTTGCCGCCCAGTCGTGATGTGTCGTGGGCTGTATCTGCTTCTCATTACCCTGGCGAAGGGGGACGAATAGGTACTGGTCGTACCACTTTGCGGGCTCCGAGAAGTCGAGAGGGGGGGCAATGTCCTCGTAGAGGACGAGAACCACGTCGTACACCCAGTGCAGCCACATCAGTGTAGCACCGACCGCGCACAGCGTCCAGTCTAGGTGCCGCACTGTCGCGATGTAGTTGAGTGAGAAATCCTTGTTTGTCTTGCCCGTTCTGCACGCGTAAACAAACATGAACGCGTCCTTCACTTGATCGGTGTCCGACTTAGCGCCAAGGTTCCACATCATCATGTCTGGCAGCTGCAGGTTCCTTATGATGCACCCGCGGGCTAGAGTGTGATGATCAAGCACAGTCATTGTCCGGATGCACAGATCGTGGTGGTGCACACTTTTGGGTGGTTAAGAGCACTTGTCAACACAAGTGGACTGCAAGCTGCGTGCATGGGACTCCCCAGTGGTGTGCTGGCGTCGCTGCTTTTCCTACGTAGTTCTCAACTCATGTCACAACAGTCGTATTTATGTCCCTCCCTCCCGTCCCCCCTCCTCTCTTCCTGCAGCGGGACCACAAGCAGCATGCACGGGGTGTGCTGGCTTTGCTGCCTTCTCGCTTCTCATTGAGAAGGTTCTCGAGCGATACCACTAGGACGGTTCTGCTCTTTCTAAACAACTACTAGCGTGAATAGAGTCGTGCTTTAGTCAACTCAAAACAGGTCCTACTAGAGTGATACCACTAGGGCGGTGCTGCTCATTCAAAACCACTAGCCCTGCTCTTGTAAGGGTTAATGTGTGGTAACTAGTTACATGTAAAGTGTATCAATATTGGATAGAGACCTGAAGGAGCCTGGTGCTCTTGTTATGGTTACCTGCCAGTCAGTACTGCAATGATATGTCAATCAATATGTAACCATGTTGAACATGGAACACTATGGTAACATGGAATGGAGATCCCTGCTCTGCATGCCCGATGTACACCCCGATGTGGTTTGCCATCACTCCAGCTGCTTTTGAGGCGCCAGAACCAGTCATCATCAAGAGCGGACAACGAGTTCGATAGGTAGTTTTCGTCATCGTCATTACACCCGTCGCTGTCCTCGTCGTCATCATCGTCATCCTCGGTGTCTTCATCCTCATTGTTTCCCGCCTAATCGCACCCCTCCCCGGTTCCGTTGTGGGCATCTCCAGCACTATATCCACTCTCTGCCTCCTTACACGTGGTCTACTAACAGGCTGATTCGAGCGGGGTGCCATCCTAGCCTGCCTATGTGGACCCTCGTTACCCCTGTTCGCGATATCACCATTCGTGTTACCTTCGTTCGTACTCCCGCCGTTCCATCTCCCACCGTTCGCTCTACCCCCGTTCGCTCTACCCCCGTAAGCCCTCCCGCCGTTCCCTCTCCCCCCGTTCGCTCTACCCCCGTTCCCTCTCGGACCGTTCCCTCTCCCTTCGTTCGCCCTCCTACCGTTCGCATGCGGTTGCCTACTACCTGCGCTCTCATTCTCAGCAGTTTGTTGCGCTGGGGTGCGGATGTGCACGTCCGGGTTCCCGGGCAACAGTGAGTTCACGTTCTAAATCGGAGGCGAACTTACACGCGTGATTGCATACACCCCTACGCGATCTACATGCGCCGCATCTCCATCAACCTCTTCAATCGCGTTTCCTGTCGAGCATGTGGTACGCGCTGGTGTGTCAACACATGCCACAGGTGGGTTCGACGATGGTAGCTGAGATGGTATCGCGTTAGGAAATGGGGTTACGGGAGCGGCAGGTGGCGTCGCGACAGTTGAGGGTGTATGAACCAGGGGTGCTGGTTGAACGCCGATGTACCCGTACCTAAAATCGAAATTCGGGTATTGCGGCCCGACGTAGCCGCGAACAGGCATTCCAAATGGCTGTGTTGATTGGTCGGTCGCGGCCATGTTGTGTTGTCCGGCCGTCTGTGTTTCAGGATGGGGCGTGGATAACCCGTGTGTATTCTGGTCATCCTCATCCGTTTAGAACGCGACCGGAGCTGATGAGAGTGGAATTTGTGACCGCGGTGCCAGGTGCATCCCGTTGATCAATTGCTGTGGGTGGAACGCTGGCATTTGGGACTCAAAGAGTATCGGCTCCACGTATGGTGTACCCCATGTCGGAGTGAGCGCAGGCATGTTTTGCACTGGTGCGGTAGCCGGCCCTGCGGTGTGGGACTGGGACGCGATTGTGTTGTCTGTTGCCATAACGCGATGCAACGTATGCATGCATCTCGCGATGGTGTTGCCCCTACTCCTACAGAACGCGTGCCTCAACATGGTGCAATGTGTCTACGCGATCCCTACCATCTGTACCCTAAACGGATTCCGGGTTACCCTAATGTTGCATAATATGCAGTGTCGTGATCGCATGTTTCATGTTACGCCCCACGATTTGACCGCGACACCCAATTTGCGTCTAAGTCCACCGAGTGCAATGCGACATGAGAGGGATGAGTCTGATGCGCTACTAGCGAGCAAAAAGCGTGAATGCAGGGAGGCTGGGTGTAATGACCGGTCACGGCGTAGACGTGCCTCCCACGTCACCGCGTTCGCGGCTCGTCTACACGGCGACACTTGTGCACGTCCATCAACGCGCTGCACGCGTCAGACTGCATGGTGCCTGTCAAATCGCGCTAGGTGGCTTCCAGTGTTTCCCTCTCACATCTCGCACCGCATTACCCAACCTTATCATTGTGCGATGGCTGTTCGCAAATGGTTTTGTGAATTCGCCACCTATCCCCTCCCACGTTCTGTATGGCGAACGCGCAGTTGCATGCGCGCGGGTGCGAGTTTGTCAATGGTAAAAACCAATCGCGTTTGGTTTTCCCCGAGTCGCACATGCATTGGCGCGTAAGAACCACATGGGTTCTTTCGGATTTTGGGGAAGCGGGGAGGTTTCGATGGGAATCCCGTGGTTTTTTGTCTGCCACGCAGTGCCGCGCTAGCTCCAGACCCGGTGGGATTCTGGAGGGCCGACTTCGCCCCACGCCTCCCGCAGTAGCTCCGCGCCCCGTACATCCCAAGGCGTGGGCGGGCTTTTCTCGAGCCGCGCCGTATAAACATCCCAGTCCATCCGGGCCCCGGTGGGTTGGCTTCCACTGGGCTCCCGGCCCGGTGGGTTGGGTTCCCACCGGGCCCGCACGCGGATGCACCGGGTGTCGCGATCCCCAGCTGGGAGGTGCACGCGAACGGGAGTCCCCCGCCCTGTTCCAAGTCCCTAGCGAGATCCGGGCGGCGGAGTCAGCTGGCGAATTGCCCCGCGCCGAGCCCGGGTCACGCCAGCGCCACGCAGCCCGGGACCACACCCGGATGTCCCCCGAATGCCCAGCCCTGGCTCGCGAAACCCCCTCGCGAAACCCCTCGCACACCAATCACACGGGCCCCGAGCGCGCCGGAATTATTCGAACAATTCCGGCCATTCGAAGCCGTTTCCGACTGGGGCGTGGCCTGGAGGGACCTAGTGAAACACTTCGCACACCAACCAGCTCGTGCAAAGGGTCGCCAATGCGCGCCGGAACGAATTCGGCCAATCGGAAACGGTTTCTTCCGGTGGTGTGGTTCGGAAGACCCCTGCAAAATACTCTTCGCGCGTGCGAAGGGTCGCTAGGGTTCGCCAAAAAAAAATCCTCAACTTTGGAAAACGTGTACCCATTGTGCTGTTGTTACACTCACACATAGGAAACACAAATCGTAAACGCGATTGCAGAGCATTAATAGTAAAACACTCTTGAAGGAGGAAAACACTCTTTGTTTGTATGCGGTCGAGTTGGAACGGTTTTTTTTTTATTTACTCGTTGTTTTTTTTTTCACCTTTTTTTTGTCGCCAACTTATTAAACGCGATTCACATTTTTGACCGCGTGTAGTAAAATTGTTGTGGAAGAGGTGGTTGTTTCGGATATTTACCCTGGACTTTGGCGGGCGCGACGAGGAATAGACCCCACCCGAGGTGGTAACCATCGCCTCTTGCATGCAGTCCGCGGTCGGAGTGCTATATGGCGGGACGTGGTTCCACTCGCATGCATGACTTGGAACGTCCCCCCCTTGAAAAGTCTCAAGGGGCGCGCGGGTTCCTCCCCACCTCACGCAGTCCCACCCCCAGCCTGTTGCTTGTGCTGCCCCCTTATGGGTTGCTCATTTTCCTCTTCACACCCTGGTTCTCCATTTTTGTCTTCCTGCTAGTCCTCTCCACCTTGTTCACTCGCCGAGCTTTGTATAGTGTGTGGTCGCGTTCGTGTTTAGGTGCTACCGAGTGATATTGTAGGGAGAATCCCTGTCGTTCGCGTGATAGTTTCCCCCCGCCTCGTCCACGCTGCTGTTATTTGCTCGCGTTCTTGCCCCGCCATGGCCGGTCGCGAATTGAAGGCGCTGTTGAACAGTGGCGATCAGGGCGCTACTTACACTGCTACGATCTCGATCGCTGGCGCCACTGTGGAGCTCCCCCCCGAGCAGAGGAAGTGCTTCGCCGATGATAAGCATCCCTTCACCACGACCTCCTTCGACTTCCTCGCCTGGTAAGACTGCCAGGAACACCTTTTGGAGTGACGGCCCCTTTAGAATGTGTTTATGGGTCGATCCGTGGTCTCCCTGAACCATGTCACTTTGTTCGCGTTACCATTGCTATTGTCGGCAACGAAGCCGTCTGAGCCATAATCTGACACCTTGCTTTCGGCCGCGTTTCCTTATCTATCGCGACCATTGTTGCATGTACTAGGGTTTTTGTCCATCGATATGCCCGCATAACACACGGACCGCGTTAATTCTATGGTCATTGGTTTTTTCATGTCCCGTACAACGTCGTCGTTCGGAAGTGCGTGTCTCAGTCGCTACAGGAGGCGATAAAGGTGGTGCCCTCCAATGTTGTCGCGGACATCGTCGCGGGTGGTGAGGCCGCACAGGTGTTTGACGGTTTGCTTGGTAGTAGGCTGGTCGCGTTCTGCATCTGGTCCGGGTGAGTACACCGTGAATAGATGTAGGCTGGTCGTGTTTTGCCTATGGTTTTCCGATATATTTCTTCGTGTATGGGTTGACGTGTGTCTTCTTGTGTAATGTAGACATGTCAGGGAGTTGAGTGACAAGAAGGATTCAAACGCGTGTATGTTGCTGCTTTTGCGACCGGACCACCTGGGGCTTGACGCGAGTTCACCCTGGAAAACTCGTTTTGTCCGCGTCTGTCACCCCACTGCGTGGCTGAGGAGCTCACCGCGATCGACAAGACTGTCAAGTAAGTTTGTACTAGCTGGTGATCTTCCCTGTATGTATTATATCCTAATGTTAAACGCGTTGAAAATGACCAATGTGTTCAGGTGGTTTCACGGTCGCGTTAACCTGTATTTCGGGAGCGATTCAGTCAAGTGCCTCCGGTCGGGGCAGTTGGGAGACCCGACACGCCTCGTGGACCTGGTAAGTGTGTGCCATGTTCGCGTATGTTACTCCGCGGTGTTTTTAACGGGAGCTCTAACACAACACTCCACTTCCGCGGTTTCTTTTCAGGATATTTCGTCTTGGAAGACCCCTTGCGGGCCACTCGCATGTGGGTACGTGTTTGACAGAGTTGTAAACGAGCTAGACGCGAATGTTGGACACGAATCAGCGCCACGCATCGCCAAGCCAATTGCCAGGACATTGACCACATTGCGGCAATATGCGAAACGCGCCGCGGAGGAGCTCGCGTTCAAGTCTAGGTGCGGGATTGCGGACGGTCACAGGGGGGAAGCTCACGGTAATGAGGGTTTGAGGTCGCACGAACAGCCCGTGGGATCACATGTTTCAGGCCGCTACGAACTCGCTCTAAATACTGCTTTCGCGCTCGCGAATGCAGGGGAGGGGGCTGAAGTGACCGCGGAACCCGGGAAGCCGGACAACAAGGAGGAGGGCTCGAGCTCTGACCGTGACGAGGATGACCCTGAGAACGCGCATCAGGGTGGACGTGACAAGAATGCAGCGGAAGAGGCAGATGGCCAGGGTCGCGGACAGGTTGAAGGGGATGCAGCGAAGCGCGATGATGTCGCGATGGATAACCAGGGCGGTGATTTGGAGCTGGAGGGTTCGGACGAAATGGAGCAAGAGGACGACGAAGAGGAGGAGGAGGAGGAAGAGGAGGAGGAGGAGGAGGAGGAGGAGGAGGAGGAGGAGGAGGAGGAGGAGGAGGAGGAGGAGGAGCAGGAGGAGGAGGAGGAGGAGGAGGAGGAGGCCGAGGAAATCGCGGTGAACACAGAGGGGCGGGCTGAGGTCGCGGTCACGGGTGCAGGAAAGAGTATTCGCAGTCTACATGCTGCGCTGTCCCCCCGTTTAGGAAGCGCGACCCCATCATGCGAGGTCGCGGGCAAGAGCCCGGTCGCGGGAAAGCGGAAATACTCGGAGCTGGTGAAGATGCAGCCTGGTAAGTTGGCCAATGAAATCCTCCGCTTGGACGAGCAGGTGAAGAATCAGAAGCGCCGACTCACCAAGCTGGAGGAGGTCATGTCCGCAAAGCCTGGTCAGGAAGCTGCGGTCGTGATCACGCAGAGTTACGAGGAGCTCGCGGCCACGGTGGAGAAGGTGTTGCATCATGTCCAGAGCGCGGAACGGGCGATGCTCAAGGAGACCAAAGCTGCCGCGAAGGAAATGGCAGAGAATCGCGACCTGAGGGAGGTGGTGAAACGCACTGCTGCTCGCCTAGAGGATAACGAGGGTTACCTGAAGGGGGTTTGTTGTGGACTACATGGAAAGAGCCCAGAAGAAGTTGACGGACGAGGTCGCCCGGAAGATCGACAACGCGTCATCCAACATTGCGGCCACCTTCGAACGCGCGATCACAACAAGCGGCGTCACCAACGCTCTCAACATCGTCATCGCCCTGCTTTCCGGTCGTGAGGATCCACGACTGGGCACAGATGGACCGCAGGGGAAGGGATCAGACGAGGTCGCGGAGAAAGAGGCAGGGAAAAGGGGCGCGGAGAAAGATACAGCGAAGGAGGAGACAGTGAAGAAGGCGGCGGACAAGGAGACAGGTAAGAGGGTCGCTGACAAGGAGACAGGGAAGGGTGAGAGCAGCAGGGCAGGGAAGCTGCAAAAAGTTCCCACGGTCCCTAGCGTCACCAATATCCTTAAGAGCAAGGGGGGAGCGGTAGATCTGCGTGCAGGCTGTTGCCGAAGGGAACCACCAGGGGGGATGTTGCTGCGGGACCACCGCCTGCCCCCTCGGCAGTGGAAGTTGTTAAAGGCAAGGCTAAGGTTGAGGACGCCCCGCCGGCCACCACCACCACCACCACCACCGCGCTAGTGCCCGCGGCAGGCAACACCGCTGCGGTCGCGCCCGGGCAGCCTGGACCCAGCTCCACTGCCCCTGCAATCCCCCCATCCGCAGATGCCAAGGCGACGAATCAGGGTCGCGGTGGTTGTAAGCCGCCTGCAGGCGCGTTGAAGGTGGACCACGACTACGACGACGACTCGGACGCGGACGACGAGGTTCAGCTGGTGCTGCAAAGGCTCGTAGGGCCGAGCGACAACAGCGGCACTAGCGGCAAGCGCAAGGGATGTGGAGAGGGGATGGTGGGCGAACCGTGGCTGGGGGGGAGACGTCGCTGGCTGGGACATCACTCCCTCCAAGAGGTGCAGTACCTGACCGCGATCGCGGTCATGTGTTACGACAAGAAGATAGACCCTGGGCTCAAGCTGACTGCGCAGCAGAAAAGTGAGTGGGCCGAGGACATCCTGCTTGTCCACCCTGCTTGTCCACCCTGGTTGAGATTTTCGCGCGGTGGTCATTTTGACTATGCTGTTTACTCCCTTCTTTGTCATTCATCTCATTTTCTTGAAATGCCATTTTCTTTTAACGCGATCAATGATGCTCGTAAATGTCGGCGTGCTTCGCACTCAAACCATACCACCAATACGCGAACTTTATCACCTAGAAGTAAGCACAGTCATACTAGCGATCGCGATCAAGGGCAAAATGGATGGAAGTTTGCACAATTAGAGGAACAGACGCGGACAAAATCGTCAATCAATTTAGGACAGTCGCATCTAGCTACTCTAGTGATGCATCAATGGACCGGACGCGCACAAGCATCCATTTCACTCGCAACTGCACCTCCGCAGGAGACCCCTTCTTGAGATGTGACGGATCGAGCCCTACAGTCTTCTTCTTTACCGTGGTCCCATCCTGCATGGACAGAGCGCGGGAGCATGCGTGTGATGGTTGGGCATTTACGTAGTGTAAACATACTAACGCGAGCAGTATTGTACTTACCGTGCCACGAATCAGGGTAGGTGTATTGCGCTGTACTATGGCCAGTTGGTTCGCCAAGGAGACATCTGCAGCCCACTCCGCAAACTCCTTCTTCTGGCATAGCGGGTTTCCGACCACGTACGGGTGTTTTGGCTGGTGGATGTAATACATGGCCAGGTCGGTCGCGACCGCCATCCGACCCTCGCCGTCCAGCTCTCGCATGATGTTGAGTCCCGCGGTGTCCTGCTTCTCCGGCTTCTTCTCGCGGACCATCTTCCGGTTGTAATCCATGCACTGTTAATCCAAACACGAAACGCGGTAAGGAACGCGGTGGCAGGTTGGATGTTTAGAATGGTCGTGATCGCGTACGATTATGTTGCGCGGCCCTACATGTACCTGTTTCTGTCCTTTGTCAGGGGCGGCCCAAGGGAATATGTGCTCCCGGAGTAGCTTCATCAGTGCCTCGCTCACCGGAACCTTTACGCGACCCAGATAGTAGTCACCGTCTACCCCTGTGAAACCCACCTTCAGCAGCACGGCCTCCTTCTGAATCGTGGTGAAGTAGTGTTTGGTCATAACATCAATGAAGCGTCACCCCCCCAAGTCTCCCCAGATGATCCGAAGGCATTTTATCCGCGGACGCGTGCTGCGCCCCACCTGCTCTGGTCGCGTAGACCACTCGCGAGCATGTGATTCCCGCGTCCTCCAAGACCTTTGCCGCCCAGTCGTGATGTGTCGTGGGCGGTATCTGCTTCTCATTACCCTGGCGAAGGGGGAAGAATAGGAACTGGTCGTACCACTTCGCGGGTTCCGTGAAGTCGAGAGGGGGGGCTATGTCCTCGTAGAGGACGGGAGCCACGTCGTACACCCAGTGCAGCCACATCAGCGTAGCACCGACCGCGCACAGCGTCCAGTCTAGGTGCCGCACTGCCGCGATGTAGTTGAATGAGAAATTCTTGTTTGTCTTGCCCGTTCTGCACGCGTAAACAAACATGAATGCGTCCTTCACTTGATCGGTGTCCGACTTAGCGCCAAGGTTCCACATCATCATGTCTGGCAGCTGCAGGTTCCTGATCGTGCACCCACGGGCTAGAGTGTGATGACCAAGCACAGTCATTGTCCGGATGCAGAGATCGCGGTGAAGACCCTGGGTGTACACGTTTTTGACAAGTGTGAAACTGTTCAAGTTGGCTGCCATGCTGGACTTCCTCATCATGTGCTTGAACTTGCGGAAGAAGCAAATTCAGAGGAATACGTTACGCGTACTCACGAGATAAACCCTTGTACTGGTCGCGGACTTGAACACGGACCCAGATGCGACACTCCACAAAGTCACGCAACAGGTTTGGCACGGGTTTGCAAAAGATGGCCCCATCGAGCTTGATGAGCACGTTCAAGGCCTTGAGATGGCCCATCAGCATTGCGGGTGTGCACTTGTGTCGCTTCTTCAAGGTTTTGTCGGGCCTTTTGAGTGTCGCCATCCTCTCCGCCTGCGCGACCGTCTCGTTCGCGAGGAAGGTCACGTATTTGCGTAAGCGCCAGGGATTTGTCTCGGGGCCGTGGAACCACTGCTCGTCGCCCGTTGCCTCTTTCCACCTTCTACCCCATGTTCTGTCCAAGCGCGGCCCCAATCTCGTCAGGGTTCTTGTTCTTCAACGCGGCCTCCGCCCCGAACCTCTCCTCATCAAGTTTCGGCAACTCGTGCGCCATGAATCGCTTGTACTCGTTGGCCCAACCGCGGTACCTTTTCAAGGTGGCCTCGGAGACTCCGTAAAGGATCCCCATGCACATCTCTCTCTTCGCTACTGGTGTGTCGTCCACACCAAGCCTGTTCCAATTTGCGATCGGGGCCTGGTTGGCTGAGCGCGGTACGCGCACTCGTTCGTTGTCTTCTGCCTCGTCCTCATCGAGAGCGGAGAAGGAGTTCGATAGGTAGTTTTCGTCATCGTCATTCCACCCGTTGCCATCCTTATTGTCATCATCGTCATCCTCGGTGTCTTCATCCTCATTGTTTCCCGCCCGATCGCACCCCTCCCCGGTTCCGTTGTGGGCGATCTCCGGCACTATATCCACTCTCTGCCTCCTTATACGCGGTCTATTAACAGGCTGATTCGAGCCGGGTGCCATCCTAGCCTGCCTATGTGGACCCTCGTCACCCCTGTTCGCGATATCACCGTTCGCGTTACCTGTGTTCGTACTCCCGCCGTTCCCTCTCTCACCGTTCGCTCTAACCCCGTTCGCTCTACCCCCGTAAGCCCTCCCGCCATTCCCTCTCCCCCCGTTCGCTCTACCCCCATTCCCTCTCGGGCCGTTCCCTCTCCCTTCGTTCGCCCTCCCACCGTTCGCATGCGGTTGCCTACCACCTGCGCTCGCATTCTCAGCAGTTTGTTGCGCTGGGGTGCGGATGTGCACGTCCGGGTTCCCGGGCGACAGTGAGTTCACGTTCTGAATCGGAGGCGAACTTACACGCGTGACTGCATACACCCCTACGCGATCTACATGCACCGAATCTCCATCAACCTCTTCAATCGCGTTTCCTGTCGGGCCTGTGGTACGCGTTGGTGTGTCAACGCATGCCACAGGTGGGTTCGACGGTGGTAGCTGAGATGGTGTCGCGTTAGGAAATGGGGTTGCGGGAGCGGCAGGTGGCGTCGGGACAGTTGAGGGTGTATGAACCAGGGGTGCTGGTTGAACGCCGATGTATCCGTACCTAAAATCGAAATTCGGGTATTGCAGCCCGACGTAGCCGCGAACAGGCATTCCAAATGGTTGTGTTGATTGGTCGGTCGCGGCCACGTTGTGTTGTCCGACCGTCTGTGTTCCAGGATGGGGCGTGAATAACACGTGTGTATTCTGGTCATCCTCATCCGTTTGGAACGCGACCGGAGCTGATGAGAGTGGAATTTGTGACCGCGGTGCCAGGTGCATCCCGTTGATCAGTTGCTGTGGGTGGAACGCGGGCATTCGGGACTCAAAGAGTATCGGCTGCACGTATGGTGTACCCCATGTCGAAGTGAGCGCGGGCATGTTTTGCACTGGGGCGCGATTGTGTTATCTGTCGCCGTAACGCGATGCAACGTATGCATGCATCTCGTTGCCCCTACTCCTACGGAACGCGTGCCTCAACATGGTGCAATGTGTCTACGCGATCCATACCGTCTGAACCCTAAACGGATCTCGGGTTACCCTAATGTCGCATAGCGTGGAGTGTCGCGATGGCGTGTTTCATGTTACGCCCCATGATGTGACCGCGACACCCAATTTGCGTCTGAGTCCACCGTGTGCAACGCGGAATGAGAGGGATGAGTCTGATGCGCTACTAGCGAGCGAAAATCGTGAATGCGGGGAGGCTGGGTGTAATGACCGGTAACGGCGTAGACGTGCCTCCCACGTCACCGCGTTCGCGGCTCGTCTACAGGGCGATACTTCTAAACCCAGCTGGCTTCCAGTGTTTCCCTGTCACATCTCGCACCGCGTTACCCAACCCTATCATTGTGCGATGGCTGTTCGCGAATGGTTTCGTGAACAGGGGAAGAATAGGTGCCACCTATCCCCTCCCATGTTCTTGTTAAGATAGTAGCTAGAGGTGAGGAGCCATGCTAGGGTGAAGAGGAGAAAGTGTCGAGAGAGTTTAGGCAAGGAAAGAGGGGTTTCACTATAGCACACAAGGTACATATAGCAAAGCAACAAAGAAGGTGCACCACCAACTCTTAATAATAATAACTACAGTACCTACAGCACGCAGGGTATATATTAAACATATTGTTTGACACACCCCCTTAGCCTGCGTGCGGTAGAAACTGGTGCAGCCAGCACCCCCTGAACGAGCAAACCAAGCGCTGTGGAAGAAGGCAGAGAAGTGAGGAAGGTGAGAGGAGAGGAGAGAAGAGGAGAGGAGAGGAGAGGAGAGGAGGTGGGGGGCCAGGACCGGCGGACCCGCTTACGAACCTCCTTTTACAAAGGGGAGGTGAGAGAGGGAAGGGAGAGGAGGTGGGCTAGGCGGGCTTGAGCGCGAAAGCTCATAGCGATCCCCCCCCGTTAAGAACCCCCAAGTCCCGATGAGGAGAGGAGGTGGGCTAGGCGGGCATGAGCGCGCACGCTCAATGCGATCCCCCCCCGTTAAGAACCCCCTAGTCCTCACCCCCTCGTCACTCAACCCCGTCAACCTCACACCTTCCGCACCTGTCTTCTCCCGCCACCCCCTCACCCTTCTGCACTTCTCTCCCCCCCCCCCTACAGCAACAGTTGCTGCAGGGAGAGAGGAAGAGGGAAGGGAGGGAGGAGTGGCAGGCTCCTCACACCCGCCCCCCCCCCCCCCCCTACAGCAACAAGTGCTGCAGGGAGAGAGGAAGAGGGAAGGGAGGGAGGAGGTGCTGGCTCCTCACAACCTCACACCCGCCACCCCCACATCTCCCCCTCCTCCCCCCCCCCCCCACGACGGAAGCAGTGGAAGGGAGGGCGGGCGGGAGGGGGCAGGGCGGCGGTAGCTGCTGCTGGCGCTGGCGGTAGCTGCTGCTGGCGCTGGCGGTAGCTGCTGCTGGCGCTGGCGGTAGCTGCTGCTGGCGGTGGCGGTGGCGGCTGGCCGCGGTGGTGGCGTCCGCGCTGACGGGCCACGCTGGCGGCGGCGCCTGCGGTCCGGGCTGGCGCGGGCGCTGGCGACGGAACGGGGGGCCGCGAGGCGACGAAACGGGGTTCGCGGACGACGGGAAGGGGTGCGCCCCGACGACGGAACGCAGGGCGCCGCGGCGACGGAACTGGGGGGCAGCGGGCGACGGGCAGGGCGTCCGCGGGGCAGCCGACGGGGCGTCCGCGAGGCAGCCGACGTGGCACGTTCGGGGGGACGGGCAGGGTGCGCGTGACGGGCGAACGGGGAGAAAAAAAAAAGAAAATAGCGCATTTCGCGCTGTAGTACGGGCGGGCCCATGATTCTTAAAAAAAAAAAGAGAAGGTTCCGGGAAAGAACCAGCTCTGTACCATGTTAAGATAGTAGCTAGAGGTGAGGAGCCATGCTAGGGTGAAGAGGAGAAAGTGTCGAGAGAGTTTAGGCAAGGAAAGAGGGGTTTCACTATAGCACACAAGGTACATATAGCAAAGCAACAAAGAAGGTGCACCACCAACTCTTAATAATAATAACTACAGTACCTACAGCACGCAGGGTATATATTAAACATATTGTTTGACAGTTCTGTATGGCGAACGCGCAGTTGCATGCGGGCGGGTGCCAGTCTGTCAATGGTAACAACCAATCGCGTTCGGTTTTCCCCGAGTCGCGCATGCATTGGCGCGTAAGAACCACATGGGTTCTTTCGGATTTTGGGGAAGCGGGGAGGTTTCGATGGGAATCCGGTGGGTTTTTGTCTGCCACGCAGGGCCGCGCTAGCTCCAGACCCGGTGGGATTCTGGAGGGCCGACTTCGCCCCACGCCTCCCGCGGTAGCTCCGCGCCCCGTACATCCCAAGGCGTGGGCGGGCTTTTTCCCGAGCCACGCCATATGAACATCCCAGTGTTGCGGTGTGCTCGATTCGAGTCCACTCTGAACAAAATCGAAACTGGCCCCATTTCGCTTACAAGGGACAGAGGGAATGTGTCTGCCGCGTCAGAGTCTGAGGCTTGCTCCCCGGCTGCAAGCCCATGGCTGTCGCTCCCTGCCTGCATTGCTCTACTGTAACGATTTGCAATGCAACTTGCTAGGAAGCGACGATGTAGTCTGGCTGCCATCACTACCAACGATCCTGAAACGACAGTGCTCACAAGTTTCCAGATTGGCAGAAAGGCTACGGCGAATATTGCCTTATTGATGTACGCATCCCAATGTACTTCTTGTGGTATGAATTATCTTGTGGTATATTTCTTTATAATCAGTTCTTGCCCTCATTGACACTACGGTACTAGCAGAGGAATTCCCAATACGTTGTCTTTCAAATATCCAAATTTCTCAGCCCAAGCTCACACTAATAACATGTGGCCTTACCGGTACGTACCAACCTTGAAATATGTACACTAAAAGACAATGTTGGCACCTAGGTGCACCCTGTTTGGATAGGGCCGCCATTAGCCAATTTGGAACCTTGGCGTGGCGTGGCGTTTAGGTCTTGGAATGATCCCAGCCGACATAGATGAACTGCGGGATTAGCTGGTGCACCTTCCAGGCAGCTACTGCTAGCGCTGCTGACATCAGCAGCAGGACAAGAGGAACCACAACAGGGGCGGAGGCAAACACAAGGGGAACAGCAACAGCAGCAACAGCGGCGAGCAGGGAGAGTGCGGGCAGAAGCAGTTGCGCGCGCTGCAGGGTGGCGAGGGCGGAGGAGCAGGACGTGCAGTGTGCCGTGTGGGATGCCATTCGGTCCAACACCACTGCCTTGGGCAGAGGCTGGGGGGGCAGGGAGTAGCCCGGGGGGAAAGCTACTGCGCCGCCTGTTGGAGGGGGTGGGGGGGCACGGAGGGTGTGCTCGCCATGTGTGAGGAGTGTGCGTGCAGAGGTGATGTGAGCCGACAGAGGAACAACTTGGTGGCATAGAGGCTGAAGGTGGGGGTGGAAGAGGAGAGCACGGTGCAGCATGGAGCACGGTGCAGCATGGAGCAGGCAGGTTGGGCAGAGGAAAAGCGAAGAGGGCGTAGAACATGCTTCATTGTGTGATGGAGGGTGCATGCGAGTACAACAAAAGCGCACCCATCGCATGTGCATAACCTACCTGCATACGTGCCCATCCACTGGCGAAAGGCCACCACAAAGAGGTCAGCAGGGGCGGGCAGGAAATACTCCGACTGCCAGAACCGACTGCTCGCCCTCTCAGCCGCCCTCTCCGCCTCCTCCTCTGCCTGCTCCGTCAACCCGCCTGCCCCTGCCCTGGCCGTGGCAGCGGCGCGATGCCGGGCGGCAATGGATTGGATTTTGTGGCCCACGAGGATGTCCTGGCAGTGCAGGAAGTAGTTGTCGCCTGGATGAGGAGGGAGGATGGATTGGGAGGGGAGAGGTGGAGATGAATGGAGAGGAGAGGAGAGGAGAGGAGAGGAGAGGAGAGGAGAGGAGAGGAGAGGAGATGAGAGGAGACGAGATGAGAGGAGAGGAGAGGAGGACACACAGAGGAGGTACAGAGGAGAATGTAACATGCAAGTTAGAAGAACTTCTGTCTGGAAACGCATGAGTGCGCGATGATGTGATGTGGCGAGTCAGGCATGAAAGGCACGGTGCAGGGCGGGAGAAGCAAGCAGGGCGGGAGAAGCAAGCAGGGCAGGAGAAGCAAGCAGGGCAGGAGAAGCAAGCAGGGCAGGAGAAGCAAGCAGGGCAGGAGAAGCAAGCAGGGCAGGAGAAGCAAGCAGGGCAGGAGAAGCAAGCAGGGCAGGAGAAGCAAGCAGGGCAGGAGAAGCAAGCAGGGCAGGAGAAGCAAGCAGGGCGGGAGAAGCAAGCAGGGCGGGAGAAGCAAGCAGGGCGGGCAGGCATTGTACTGTCGAAGACATTGTGAGTGAAGAGGTGTGATTGCCACGCCTGCGATGCAAACTGCTCGCCCCACAGCGTCTTCCTCCTCGGCGCTGCCCCTGGCCCCTTCTCTCCCCCCTGCCGTCGCCACCAGTGGTGCCCTTCACCACGCCCTCGTTGTTGCCTTGCAGAAAGATCATGAGGCACTCCCCCGGGCGCATGGGCGTCATGTACAGGCAGATGAGCACCGTCGTGGGCGCGGGGGGAGCTGCTCCCACCGCCGCTGCTGCTGCCGCTGCCGCTGGTGGTGGAGCGAGGGTGCTGCAGGGAAGGATGAACGGGGTTAGAGGAATGCAAGCTGCTCAGGATGATAGAATGGTTACAAGGCAATGGCATGGTAACGAGGCCGGGACATGGTTACGAGGCAAGCTAATGGTGGGTCCGGTGAAGCACCCAACACAAGCACATGCCAAATGATTCATGTGAGTCCACAACGGCTGGCTGCCACATGCTGTAAAGCACAGAGCGACATCATTGGTTGCAGCAAGGACGATCTTGCGGATGTGGTTAGGCGAGCACACCACAATGAAGGCTGAGTGCTGAGGCATACCGGTTGTAGCAGATGAAAGTGGGGGCACTGAAGGTGAAGGTGGCAGGCGAGGAAGCATCATGGAAGGTGCCTTGAAAGCCCTCCTTGGTCTGACAGCACATGGGGAGGGAACTTGGGCATTCATGAGAAGAAATCAAAGGCGAATGAGGTTTTACGGAAGCTAAAAAGGTTGCATACCCGCCCCAAACAAGCCCAAAACATGTTGCGACAGACAGCACGCTGTCAGCTTTCATCAAGAGTGTCCAGTTGTGTATAAAGTCGGTGATATCAGTTGCGACAGACAGCACGCTGTCAAGTCAAGCCTTGTAAATCTGTGGTGGGCAGCGAAACGACCGGTGCAAACTTGCTTGCTAGACATCGTGCATTTACAACAGACTGTCGAATTACACCCTCCATCACACGGCTTGCACTCATCTCAGCTGACTACGCGCTGCATGTTGATCTCCTTCATGGGCGCTCTGAGTCTGCTGAAAACACGGCTCACACGCTCATCTCACCTCATCTCACCACGCACTGCCCCCTCATCTCACCTCATCTCACCACGCACTGCCCCCTCATCTCACCACGCACTGCCCCCTCATCTCATCTCACCACGCACTGCCCCCTCATCTCACCACGCACTGCCCCCTCATCTCACCACGCACTGCCCCCTCATCTCATCTCATCTCACCACGCACTGCCCCCTCATCTCATCTCGTAGCTGTAGGGCAGACGCCGTGCATACAGCGCCACGTCAAAGGCGGACCAGTCCACTCCCTCGGGCTCGAAGATGGCCGTGCGCTCCGCCTCTTCCGCTGAGGCACTGTCCGGCCACACAAAGAGAATGCCCTGCGCACGGCCAAGGGGGTGGAGGTGAGTGTGGGGATTGTGAGGGGGGAGACGGGGAAAGCGGCTCAAGATGAGTGGGAAGGTGGCGAATACTGCAGGGCTGCGGTATGCCCAGAGCATGCTTTCAAACTAGTCCGGGCTTTGCTTTATAGATAGAATTTTCTTGCCGCATGAGGAAGAGACGCCAGTGTGGGCGTGGGTAAGGCTTTTGAATCCGTGCTAAGAGATTGCAGGATGGAGGCAAGAGGGCAGCGCCGGCGGGGAAGAAATACTTCATAGAGGAAGGAGCACCGTTTCAGAGCAAGGTGGAAAAAGCAGCAGCAGCAGCAGCAGCAGCACAAGGGCACGGAAAGGTGAAAAGACACACATGGAACTCCCTGGTGGGGAAGGTGCAAACACACACATGGAACTCCCTGGTGGGGAAGGTGCAATCACACACATGGAACTCCCTGGTGGGGAAGGTGCAATCACACACATGGAACTCCCTGGTGGGGAAGGCTGTGGCGCAGGCACGAGGAGAGGCGAGGGCGCGAGGCGGGTGGCCCGGGTTGTCTTGAGGTGCCTGGGGGATGAGCTGGCACGCGCCACTGCCTGCAAACGCCCACCCGTGGTACGAACACGCCAGCCGCCCCTTCTCATCTATGCGACCCTGGAGAGCGGGAGAGGGAGATGGGAGGAAAGGTGGACGGGGGAGTGAGGGTGGGGAGCGGGAGGGGGAGATGGGAGGAGAGGTGGACGGGGGAGTGAGGGTGGGGAGCGGGACAGGGGGATGAGATGCAGGGCGGCGGACAAAATGAGAAGACAGACATGCCAGGCGCCCACACGAATCTGTCTGTGCTGCACTGTGGGGGGCAGGGGGGGTGGGGGGAAGACGTGCCAGGCGTGCCAGGTGGCTGGTAGAGTGCTTGAGAGAGGGGAGAGGGGAAGGAGGGAGAGATTATAGGGTGGGAGGGATTATAGGGTGGGAGGGATTATAGGGTGGGAGGGATTATAGGGTGGGAGGGATTATCGGGTGGGAGGGATTATAGGATGGGAGGGATTATAGGATGGGAGGGATTATAGGGTGGGAGGGATTATAGGGTGGGAGGGATTATAGGGTGGGAGGGATTATCGGGTGGGAGGGATTATAGGGTGGGAGGGATTATAGGGTGGGAGGGATTATAGGGTGGGAGGGATTATAGGATGGGAGGGATTATCGGGTGGGAGGGATTATCGGGTGGGAGAGGCAGCCGCCCGGAGGTGTGTGCGCAGGTGAGGGAGAGGAGGAGGGCAGTGAGATGGTGAGATGCGGCGAGGCAGGGGGCGTGGATGGAGGAAAGGCGGAGTTGAAATGCGGAGAAGCAATGTAGCACGACATCCTTGGAAGCAATGTGGCACGACATCCTTGGAAGCAATGTGGCACGACATCCTTGGAAGCAATGTGGCACGACATCCTTGGAAGCAATGTGGCACGGCATCCTTGGAAGCAATGTGGCACGACATCCTTGGAAGCAATGTGGCACGGCATCCTTGGAAGCAATGTGGCACGACATCCTTGGAAGCAATGTGGCACGACATCCTTGGAAGCAATGTGGCACGACATCCTTGGAAGCAATGTGGCACGGCATCCTTGGAAGCAATGTGGCACGGCATCCTTGGAAGCAATGTGGCACGGCATCCTTGGAAGCAATGTGGCACGGCATCCTTGGAAGCAATGTGGCACGACATCCTTGGAAGCAATGTGGCACGACATCCTTGGAAGCAATGTGGCACGACATCCTTGGAAGCAATGTGGCACGACATCCTTGGAAGCAATGTGGCACGACATCCTTGGAAGCAATGTGGCACGACATCCTTGGAAGCAATGTGGCACGACATCCTTGGAAGCAATGTGGCACGACATCCTTGGAAGCAATGTGGCACGACATCCTTGGAAGCAATGTGGCACGACATCCTTGGAAGCAATGTGGCACGACATCCTTGGAAGCAATGTGGCACGACATCCTTGGAAGCAATGTGGCACGACATCCTTGGAAGCAATGTGGCACGACATCCTTGGAAGCAATGTGGCACGACATCCTTGGAAGCAATGTGGCACGACATCCTTGGAAGCAATGTGGCACGACATCCTTGGAAGCAATGTGGCACGACATCCTTGGAAGCAATGTGGCACGACATCCTTGGAAGCAATGTGGCACGACATCCTTGGAAGCAATGTGGCACGACATCCTTGGAAGCAATGTGGCACGACATCCTTGGAAGCAATGTGGCACGACATCCTTGGACAGAGGGAAGGACACGCGCATGAGGCGGTGGGGTGGGGGTTTCCATAGTGGTATCACAAGGATAGACGTGACTGTGGGCATTAGTGGAGGCCCTTGCTGTGGTGTGGAGAGACATGAATGCAGGATTTGTTGACCTGATGGTAAACAGGTGAGCCGCGAAGACCTGATGGTAAACAGGTGAGCCGCGGAGGCCTGATGGTAAACAGGTGAGCCGCGGAGGCCTGATGGGCCTGGATAAGTCCAAACGGGTCGTGCTGACAGAGCGAGAACTTGTTGGCTAAAAAACCCACAAGAACAAAGATAAGAAGAAACTCACCTCAGAAAGTGGAACTAGGCGGTGGGGGCACTGGTCTTGGAAGCAGCGCCAGGGGGAACCAAGCGGTGGGGGCATTGATTACCTCGGACAGTGGAACCAAGCGGTGGGGGCATTGATTACCTCGGACAGTGGAACCAAGCGGTGGGGGCACTGGTCGAGGAAGCAGCGCCAGGAGAGGGAGGCGTCCCGCCAGAGCACGAGGGGGCGGCCCAGCACTGTGAGCGCGTGCGGCCGACTGGCGTCCATGTCCGCCGCCACGCCCATGGCGTACCACGCGCGGCTCCACTCCACCTGCTCCCTCTCTGCCCGCCCGCTCGCCCCTCCTCTGCTGCCTCCCCGCCCTGCCTTGCCTTGCCCTCCTTCCCCCCTGCCTCCTGCTGCTGCTGCTGCTCCTGCTGCTGCTGCTCCTGCTGCTGCTGTTGCCCAACCTTGCCCGCTGCTGGAGGCTTGTCAGCCAGGGTGGGCGGCACAGCAGCAGCACGAGCAGTGGGCGACGCAAGTGGCGAGGGAGCGGAAGGCGTGGCAGCGGGAGCAGCAATGGCTGCAGGGTCAGCAGGGGAAGCAGCTGGGGCTGTGGCGGCCAGGTGCGCAGGCAGGGGAGGGGTGCTGGCAGCATGTGACGGTGCGGCAGCAGTGCCAGGCGAGGTCTGCTCACTATTTTCCGCCCACCCATCGTCCTCAGAGGCAGAGTTGCTGCTGTGGCTTCGCACACGCACGCCGCTGCACGCCCTGCGCCCTCCTCACGTCACCCCATTTGTGTGCCGCGCGGGAGCGCCACTCAGAGGCGCGTGACTGCGGAGGGCAGAGCACGCCAGGCGCTGCTGCTGCTGCTGTGGCGCGTGGTGGGGTGCACGGTGGGGCGCACGGAGGGGCGCACGGTGGGGCTTGTGGTGGGGTGGAGCACGGAGGGCGCCGTGGCAGGCGGAGCCCCTGAGGTTGCCGATGCAACCTTGGAAGGCAGTCGCAGCACACGCGCTCATGGCCAGTGCCTTTCGCTGCTCCTGCTCGTGCTCCTGCTCGTGCTCGTGCTGCTGCTGAGTACGGAGTGCTGAGTGCTGGCCTCGCGGATACTAGGCTTCTGTGACCTCGACAAGATTAGGCCCAGCTTAATTCAGGCTCGTGTTCGCCTCTCGCGGCACTGCGGAACGATCCGTGGTGCCACGAGCAGGAATAGGGAGAGTGTGGACCGCAACACGAGTAGTAGCTGCCACGCCACGCTGTTTACCGGCTGGCGGCTGTATATTGACGGGAGGTGCGCGGGGCAAGGCGGATTGACGGGCACGGGTCGGGGCATGGGAATGCAATGGAGCGTCGACTACAAGCAGCGGCGAGAGTGACGAGGGTCATCGTTGGGTGACTCCTCGTCGCCGCGTGGCGGGGCTTCTGCGAATTCTTAACAGCTCCTCGTAGCCCCGCGTGGCGCGCGCAGTCGACGGGACCGACGGGCGAGTGAACAGCCCGCCGCAACGGACTCAATGAACCGGGGGTGTGCTCGCCATCTGACGACATGACTCAACCGCGGCGCCACGTGGCGTGACGCTACGGGTGTTCGGATGGTTTAATCGCGATGCATTTCGCTTTTGTGACCGGGGCGCACGAGAGTGGCGAGCGGGACGAAATGCAGGATGCATGAGAGGTGACTCGCCTTGGACGGCGCCGAAACTCGCGGAGACGGGAACCCGCGGCGCTGAGACACACGAGATGTCGCGACGCTAATGACATGGGAGAACGCGAAGCTATTGTCAACAGCCTCGAAATTGGAGATTGCTGCCAATTGTCGCTCTCGTAGTGCCCGAGCTCCCTAGAGCGGAAATGCGAGTGATGTGATGACATATCAAGAAGTGGGTGTGCGATAGAAACTGGTGGGATAACTCACTGCCAGTTTTTGGGCGTAGCAACCTTATAAATTTGATTTCACGTTTTGAAAAGCTGACGTACCATTGGCAGCGTTCTGCGGGCGCATCAGCTCTGATGCGCCCTAGGCTCGGCCTGATCCGCACATTGAGAAATTAAGGTTCGGAAATCAGGAAGTTGAGGTTCGGAAAATCGGAAATCGGATATTTGAAATTTTCGAGATTTCAGATGTCGATTTCAAATTTCCTCAAATTCGGCATTACAGAGGGATCGGGGAAGTCAGACAGCACGTGCCTGACGCCTTCGCCTGATGCCTGTGTCAGAATCCCAGCCACTAACCACTGGGATAAAAGGGCTTGTTTGTATAGCGGGTGAGTGCGCCCATAACCCCCCAGGCCAACGTGCCTGTAACCCTTCCCTAGGATCAATCGGGGATCACCAGTGGACCTCTGACACCCCCCCGCACTGGGATGCCCGAGGTGCACACGCCGGGATTTGAACCCGAGATCTTCGCTCTAATACCATGTCAGAATCCCAGCCACTAACCACTGGGATAAAAGGGCTTGTTTGTGTAGCGGGTGAGTGCGCCCATAACCCCCCAGGCCAACGTGCCTGTAACCCTTCCCTAGGATCAATCGGGGATCACCAGTGGACCTCTGACACCCCCCCGCACTAGGATGCCCGAG